ACAATCGCTAAAGACAAAATGGGTGCATAAGCACATGTAGTGAAGAAAGCAGATGGTGCCCCGATATATATTAAAAGATAACAGCGTCTGGGGTTTTAAAGGCTTGAAGTTAAACAAGCAGCCACGTAGCAAAGAAGCAACAAGTCTGCGTATTCATGAGGTGTTGTCAGGACTGGGTAACAGGCATCAGAAGACCCATAACAAACAAAACATTGTTGAGAATGAGGGGTTTGGGAGCAGAGACCCAAAGCCCATTTGTAGACAATGGGACACATCCCCCCCACAGAGGGGTAACAGGGAAGGGATGAGTCAACCAGGGTGCAGTAAAGCACCAATGAAACATGATTCTTCTGGTTCCTTGAGGCTTCCTCACCCCCCATTATCATGACCCCGGTGCTGCCTCTCTTTTCGGACTAGACCAGAGCATGTGCACAGGTACAGATAAGAGACACACGGAATCCAGGAACAGGAGTGGGAATAGAGATGCCAGAAGGGCAGGGGGAAGAGGGGGAGAGGAGGGGAGGAAGGGGAAACCGATTTCAATGAAACCACATTTCCCCCTCCATGGGAACGAACAGCAGAAACCATGAGGGGTCAGTGTAAGATATGAAAACAATCATTTATAATTTATCAAGAGGTCACGAGGGGTGTGGGGGGAGGAGCTGATGCCAAGGGCTCAATAGAAAGTAACGGTCTAGAAAAGAATGATGGCAACATATGTACAAATACACTTGATACAATCGATGTATGGATGTTACAAGAGTTGTAAGAGCCCCCAATAAAATGAACTTTTAATTTTTTAAAAATTGAATTAAAAGGGCACTTTTTCCCCTCAGCTTTTTGAAGTACTTCAGACTCTGTTCTGTGTATGTGAGGTGGAATAATGTACCTGCCTTGCATGGTGAATTTGAAAATGAAAGTGTATAAAAAGCAATTTGCCACTTAATATGTTTGTCAAAAGTAACCATTTATTGTGGTAATTTCTTGTACTTTTTATTGATACCCAGACGTTGAGCAGAAATGTGATCATTAGCAAAACTTCCTCTCAAGACATGTTCTTATAACAACAGCAATGAAAATAGAACCTAGTACATCCTTCCTACTCTAATGATTTTGCATTATTGTTTATATGAAATTATATAAATGTAAACATAATAAAGAACACCCCCCCCCCCCCCCAAATAACAAACAAACAAAAAACCCTCACCGTGTCAAGTTGATACCGCCTAATAGGAACTCTACAGGACAGGGTAGAACTGCCCCTGTGAGTTTCTAATATTATAACTCTTCACTGGAGCAGAAAGGCCGATTTTTCTCCCATGGAGCAGCTGGTGGTTTCAAACTGTTGACCTTGCAATTAGCGGCCCAACTCCTAACCACCACACCACCTGGGCACCTGTATACATAATGGGAAAGTTATATTGGAATGATAAAATGGGTAATTACAAGCTGTTACTATTAAGTTGTTTTATTATATAAAATCTTTGTATAATATCAGTTGTGAAAGATTCTTAAACAGAGAATGAATGCCATTATCTTAAGGTGGTCATTAGAATTTAGAGGATATACCTTGTTAATTATTTTGCTGTTTTAATTACAATAGAAACAGCCCAAACAATACCTTCATAAATTCTCCATGTGTAGTCATTATGAATTTACTAATTTACTGTAATGAAGGCTAAGATCAGTGTTTTCCCAAAGTGGGTGATACAGACCCCTTTTGTGGGTGGGTAGGAGGGCACTCTTGAATAATCCAGGGTCTATATACCTATAGACCATACTTTATCCTGGCACAGACTATAAGTTTCTAATCGCCAGCAGGGCACTGATTTCCCCACCCCACCCCTGAAAAAGGGTGCTGTAAGCCAAAACAGTTTGAGAACCTATGCTTTTGATGTAGACTGCACTTCAAAAAAAAAAAACAACTGGTGGTGGGGGCTCTCTTCCAGAGTTGATCGGACACTTCTGAAAGATTGCCAACATTTTTCCTTTGATTTTAGTAGCAGTGCATTCATGAACTTGAGACTTATGTATGTACTCGTGTATAAGCCAAGTTTTTCAGCACATTTTTAATGTAGTTTTTGTGCTAAAATTAGGTGCCTCGACTGATAGTCGGATTGGCTTATACTTGAGTATATACGGTAAGTGGTTCATTTGCCTTAGTGCTTTTAATCACTAATAAAATTACTAAGCTAACTGGTGGCAACTCTGAACTAAGATTTAGTAAGTAGATATAGTAAGTAGATAGCTTATTGACTCAATTACAGCTAATAGCAACCTAGTAAACAACAAACAAAACATGACCAGGTCTTGTGAGATCTTCACAATTGCCATAAATAATAATTATGTCCATAGTAAGAAGGACCTGTTAGTATAGTACTTACACATTGGACTTGTAACCTAAGGTCGGTGGTTCAAACCCATCAGCTGCTCTGAGGGAGAAAGCTGATGCTTGCTCCCATGCAGTTACAACCTCAGAAACCCAGAGGGTAGTTCTCTGTTGCAAATCAGAAATGGTATCAATGGTGGTGAACATATCTCTTTTAAAAGGCCATTTCTACCACTGTGATCCAAAGGTTATTTTTATGAAAAATATTCCTTTCATATCTTCTAAAATTAAGAATTAAGGTACATCTCAGGGGGCCTCGAAAAGTCTGTAGAAATTCTAAATAAAGGATAATGGAATTTTTTCACAAACATTTTGAAGTCCCCATGTATAAGAAAAACTGTGAGTCAAACTTAATTATTTGCCATCATTTTAGTTTGTTTTTAACTTTAGGACAATCCTAAGTGAATTTCATTTCATGAATTTTGAATAAATATTACCCTTGCTTTCTGTTTTTGTAATTGAGATAGAATTTTTTTAGAAGAAATCACTTCTAGTCATTGGAAGCATAATGAGCATGGCATTAATGAAAGCTTTGTCTTTGAGGGTTTTTTGATAACCAAGAACATATCTATTTAAGTTGTGTAATGGCTATTATTTCTTTGGCAAGTATTACAGTAATAAGTAATCAGGCAAAAAAAGGTGCTTCTCATTTCAGGTTTTGAAATCACCATTGAACATCCACACACAGATGTGGTGAAATGCACGCAGTTAGTAAGAGGTACGTGGTCTGAAATTCCTAAGAGGAACACATAGGCTTTCTATCATCTGGCTGTTTACTATTTTGTGTTATAAGTAATCACACTTTATTAAAATGGAGGGAAATGTCCGTCGTTGCAAACATTTTTTTTTATTATATTCCTTACTTATTCATCTAGTTCTTGGTTTCTGCCTGATGAGCTAGGTTTCTTTAGTCTTTAACAAGTATGTCATTTAAAAATTGAGAACTTCCAAATCTTAGGACTCCCCATTGGCCTGTGCCAGTCTCATTTCAGTATTTGATGTAGGACAATAATATCTAGGTGCAAGAAATGATACGCATTTCTGGTTTGTGCCAAATTTTCATTGACTTGTTGAGGATCAACAACAATTTTAAAAGATGTGAGGTCAACTTCAGATGTTTCCAATAAAATTGGATTTTTTCACAGACAGTTCATTTTTGGAAGTGTTTTGACCATATTCATTTGCACAAAAATTATTTAATGCATTATGTTAAGTTCTTTAGCATTACTAAAAATGGTCCTTTTGTATATGGTAGGAAAATAAATAATAGCATGGTATATACATTTGTGGTACTGTATTGAATCTTCTGTGCACAAGTTTTCGCATTGTTGTCTTTCACTGCTTGGGAAGCATGTAGAACATGTCCCTCTTGCTCGGTGAGTCCTCTGTCTGCTGCCTCCACAGAAATCTTCCCCACACAGTTGCATGTTGTCATTCTGCTGCTTTCTTCTGCTCTCCTGTTCTCCACTTGAAGCGTTACAGCCTAATAACCACTAGGAACTTTCAGTGTGCCTTATTCTGCTACTTCCTGTTTGAAAATGAAATTTTACAGTTTCATTTTTTGACCACCACACCTTGGGTATATTCTAAATAAAATGGGTAAGACTTTTGAAAGACTTGTTTTTTTGTGTTTGTTGGGTTGTCGTCCCCCCCACCCCCCCAAATCTTTGCTTAAATATTCTCACATTTTATTCATGCTAAACCAAATTACTTTTATGCCCAGGAAAGTTTTTATTATATTAATAACTCCCTTCAAGCAACGTGCCCCCCCTAAAACAAAACAAAACAAAAACCACTCTAATACACAATGCTAAGAACTGGACTTCTAAAATTCCACTCTAATTTTTTTCATCATATCCTATCCACATGCTTGTAAATGGTGCGTGTAATTTTGATTCACATTTCTTGGGTCTTCTTAAATATATTTCATAACACATTTTCTCCCTAGTGTTATAGTTTATTATAGGATTATATAGATAATTGATTTCAATGTTAGGGGGAAAGTTTACAGTATTAAGCTTTGTCAGCATATCAAAGAGCCATATGATTTACTTTAAATTGCATGCCATTTGAAGGAAGGCATGGTGATTATAAGTTAAAATACATACTATTTTTATGTATTTTTTAACTTAGTAAGAAATGAAGCTGCATTTTCAGTATAGTACCCTGAAATCGAGTCCACATCTTTAAAATCTTTTATGAAAAATGTATACATTCTATATTCTTGTATCTAAAGAATCTAGTGGCATGAAGTCATTTCATCAGCCAGAACAAAGTATTTAAATTGTTTTTGTTGTTAGCACTTAAAGTAAGACTAATTATTAAGGAGTACAAATCAGATATATATTTAACTTCATTTTGTCTTGACTAACATTTCACATCTCACTTCATTTAAAAAGTACTCTTGTGTGTCTGGTGTCTTTTCCCCCACTATCTCTTTTGCTTTGTCACAACTTCTAGCTTAGAAACAAGAACATTTCTCCCTACATTATTCCTCTGTGCAGTGGTCATTGGATTTAAGTACATTTCTAGTTGTAATTGACAGCGATCTAAAATTATTTTTACTTCCTTCTCCATTAAAATTTGGGGGTGGGGGAAATTTGGTTTTTATAAAGTCCTTCCTTCCACCCTTTAGAGATGGAAAAGGTTTAGTGTTATGCTGCTTTGCTATAGAGTTGGCTAATGTCATTTTACAGGGACCTTTCACTTCTGTGATTTCTCCTTCCCTCCTCACCAGGAAAGAATGCAATATTTAAGGCACTGCCTCCAAGACATCTGATGCTTTGACACGCTTCCTTAGTACAACTCTGCTAAGCCCAGATCTCTTATGTAAAACCTTTGTGTTGATGATCCACTGGGTAGCAGGGATTACAGATGGTGGCAAAGATAAACCATAGAGTGGAAAAGGAATTTGAGGCTTATTAGAGAGGGGTGGAGTTGAGGTGAACTGACCCTAGGTGAACAGAGGGAAAGGTACGTCAGTGATTATGAATGTAATTTTTTTAAGGCAAATTAAAACACATCCCTGAGAAGAAGAGTAAGATTCAAGGGTTGGAGAGGAGGCTGCAAAAGTTTCAACATCATAAAGAACTAGTTGTTAAAAAGTGCTTTTCTGTTGGGGACAGATCCCCAAAGTAGCATTATCTTTTCTAAACATTGTCTTTAATTCGATTCTGCAAATAATTGTTGTTTTAAAATAATACAGTGAAGCTTCCTGTGTCTGCACCCTTATGACATTGTTTATAATGTTGTTTATTCTCTGTTGATGTTTAATAGCGTGGTGAAAAAACAGCAATTTTGTCCTGCTGTTGGGGGGTTGTTTTATTTTGTTTTCTTTGATGGAAATACTTAAGCCAAATTTAAATATGACTGAGGATTAAGTCTGGCAGGCAACTCTTTGTATTTTGTATTAGACTTCAAAATCTTTTCTTCTTCTCCTTTTTTTTCCTTTTCTTTTCTTTTCTTTTTTTTAAATCCAGGAGAATGCTTTATTGCACCTTTTAGCTGACTAGGTGCTTAACTTAGTAACAAGTTTAGCCCTTGTAACTGGCTAGCTAAAAGCAAATCGGCTTGTTTCTCAGATCTTTGGGGGATAGCAAGAAACATTTGAGTGAATGTTGTTGAAGATTTTCAGTAGTATAGAAAATGATGGCGCTCTTGTGATATTTGTAAGTAGTAAATAAAATTTATTTTTTTGTGTACACATCTTTGAAGTTTTTGTTGTGTTGAGAACTTTTGATGATAGCATATTAAAGTTGATATATTGTTCTTTTTTTTTCTCTTTTCTTACAGCAAGCAAGGATTTGGCACAGACATCCTATTTCATGGCTACCAACAGGTTGTTATCCTGACCCTCTTTGTCGCACTGTTGTAGCACACTAGCTTCCTTTAATGCAGGGCCCCCTCAATGTGTCTCTTACCCTTGTTGCAACAGGAGACTGGACCATCTACTGTGGTGGGACCTTCCTGTTTGCTTTGCGGTGTATTGTACAAGGGACTTTTGGCACAGAGGGGTTAAATGCACAATGTGAAGTGTAGTGGTGCTTTCTGATGGCATATTCTCGATTTGTGAGTGCATAAGTCTAAAATTGGTAGCCTGAATAGCAGCTAAAGATTACAAAGAGCTAAACTTAACATAGAAATTCGAGCAACTTGGTAAGTATAAAAAAGCTATTTCTAGTTTATAATTATAGTTAAATGACATTTTAAAAAATTTCACCTTGATCCAATCCTTAGCTTAAAATAATCATTGACATTTATTTTTTTGCTTTTATAAACTTTACTTAACGTGGAGGGTTTTTTCCAGTTTAATATCCACTAATAATAAACTAGAAGTAGTCAAGTCCTGTCATGGTTTCCATAAATATAATTTTAAAAAAGACTTCCTTTCTAGTTTATATAAAGCAAAAATATGTAATGGGTTTGTGGTTGGTCATTAAACATGGTTCATCAATTTTGAAACTGAACTGGAAAAACAGTTTATTTAAAGAGCATTTACTAGAGAATACATAATTCTGTTCTGGATTGATTATATCATTTGTTTAAGATTGTTTTTAAGTGGGTTTTGGCAAAGTGGCAACCAAACCAGCTTTGTATGACCGCTCATTTCTAGTGCCATTAAGAAACTTAATAAAAACTGTAAACTGGAAAGTATCAATCTCTTTCCTTAGATACATGTTATTGGGGGTTCAACCTCTATTCCATTTATTCTGAACCAAAAAAAGACTTAAGATTTAAAACTTTGGTTTGAAAATAAACCATTTTGGTCATACAATAGAGGGAGAAAAAATAATATTGTAGTATTTAACATCATTGGGCTTGGAAGCTGTTCATCAAAAGGTAAGTTTTCTTTGTGGCTTGCTGAAAAAAAGAAAGTAGAGTTTACATATACATAGGTGTTAAATTTATTTGACTTGAAGAGTTTGTTGATCATAAGAATACTGATTAAGCCACATCAGTTACTATAATACCTAATTATTATGGGACATTGAAATTGTCATGTCAATATTACAGATAGTCTTATGCTTTTTTCTTTACATTTTAACATGAGACTACAAAAGAAAAATATCACCAAAAATTCAAACTGTTATGTCTATACATATGTTACCACATTGTGATTGCCTGTGTTTTTCCCTTTTCTAAATACGTTTTTTAAAATGTTTATCCAAAAAGGGTTTTTTTGTTTTTGTTAAGAAAGACTGCTGTTTTTGTAATCATGTGAAAATGTTACATACATTATATATAATACTCTAGTGAGTGAAGGTCTGGGAAGCTTTTATAATCTAAATGGATTTTTTCAGTATAGGAGTTTTATAAATATTAGTGTTCGCTCTTGATTTAATAAAAGAACATGCTCTAGACTTAATTAAAGAAGAAAACTTTTAGGGTTTTGCTTTTGCATGAATCTTACTGGTAAATGTTTTTCTTTGTTTTACATATATGCATTTCTATGGCTCTCTACTTCCAAACCTGCCACAGTCTGCACCTTACCACCTTCTGTCTTCAGTACAAACCAACAGTGATAGCATGTGTGTGCATTCATTTGGCTTGCAAGTGGTCCAATTGGGAGATTCCTGTATCAACCGATGGAAAGCATTGGTGGGAATATGTGGACCCTACAGTTACTTTAGAGTTACTAGATGGTAAGTAAAATTAAGACTTGTAGAGAAACAACATTTTAAAAAATATTTCTTACACTTTTTATTATGGAAAATTTCTCTCTACTTCTGTACTGGTTTGAAAACTTGTAAACCCCTAGGCCCTCGTCATTTTATCCTGCCCAGCACTGCCCCTAATTCCAGATGTCATTTCATCCAATACTATGAAAGTTTGTATTTCAAAGGACTCTTCTAATGAATAGGGTAAATATAAAAATTCCTCAGCCTAAAAAACAGACAATTGAAGGTCTGTTAGCAATCAGTGAATATGCAACGCCCTTTTAGGACTTTTTCGGAAATAAGATTTATAATGCTACAGGTTGCTAGTGCAAGTATACCTGATTTTGTGAGTTTCACATATGTAGGCTCAAGAGTTGGGCGTTAACCTATTGTGAAAATATAAAGTGCTGAGCTAAAGAGATAGCAAAGTATAGTCTTGCATTATTAAATATGAATAGGCAACAGAAAATTAGGAGAATGTTAATTCTGTAAATTATAAACATGGGGATTGGGAATCTCCTGGTGAGAAAATAATTTCTTTGGGTCTGGAAATAAAGTGCTTATGGATTTACCACCAGGTGAGCAGTTGAACCCACCAGCTGCTGACCAAAGGAAAAATATGAGGCATTCTACAGTCTACCCCACGGGGGCAATTCCACCTTGCCCTCTGGGGTGCTGTGAGTCAGAATTGGCTGGCTGACAATGAGAGAACTAATTTAAACTGGCATGGCAGGTTTGTTTGGTTTTTCCCCCTCCTGTTTTGAAGCTTAGGGTACTTTTAGGGAAAAACAGGATTCACATATGCTTCTTGGAATGTGTATTACATAAAATGAGAGACACCTGTGGTTTTGGAACGTGGTCTTCCGATAGACAGAAATGTTTTCTTCAATTTTTTTTCTATGAAGGGGCAGATAGTAATTAAGAGTTGGCGAAACTAACAGAAGCAGCTCAACCATTAGATCAGTGGTTCTCAACCTTTGGGTCGCGACCTCTTTGGGGGTTCCAATGACCCTTTCACAGGGGTCGCCCGATTCATAGCAGTAGCAAAGTTAGGAAGTAGCAGCAACGATAATTTTAGGGTTGGGGGGGCGGGTCACCGTAATGAACTGTAGTAAAGGGTCACGGCATTAGGAAGGTTGAGAACCACTGCATTAGATGATTGGTAAATGAATGGGCATGGAATTTACAAAAACAGGTGGACAAATCAATTATTCATTTGGTGAGCAACTGAATAAGAATCTCAGTAGCAGAACCCATTGAGAATTTTAACATGATATATAGCCACCTTTTCTGCTTGTGGGTTTTTTTTTTTAATGGTTAAGAAATTAAGGTGTCTGAATTTGAGCATGTGTCTGAAGCGTCGGTATGTACTGCAATGACTCATTAACCTGTTCTAAAAACTTGGGAAACTTGACATAGCTGTAAGGGTTCATTGCTACTGCTGTTGGAGTTTTTTCGTGGTTAATAACAAACCCTTATGTGTATTTTTGTGTTCTGAATTTTTCTGGTGAGGTGCCTTTGTTTTAAACATCACACTTTGTTTTTGTGCATGTACTTTTAATATTAGCAGCGATTATGTGACAGTATTTTGTTCTCTGCTATACATTTGAAGAGAATAGGATACTCTTAGGAAAGCAGTGCTTTTATTTTGTGCTTGGTATGCACTGTGTTTGTGACCAAGAATTTTACACGTGTTTATTCTTTGACAATTGAACTGAAAATGGGGTCAAACCAATTACATGCTAATGTTGGACTCAAAAGGATCACATCCCGCAGCTGAAACACCCTTTTTTCAAGTGGGCCAGTGAAGGTGCCAGCGGTCCTTTTTTTCTTTCATCCAACAAGAAACTACGAGTCGTAGACTTCAGTAGAGAACAGATACAGAATTGTCGTAAAAGGTGCGTCTTGGAACACGTCATGGTTAGGTTTTGCTAGCACACCTTTTCACAGGTTATTTTGGAGTGTTCTCACAGGCGGTGCATTTATGATGGTGTAGAATTTCTTAGTGTTTTTCTCAGTATTTGAGACAGATTCCATATTGCATTGATTTTTACTGCCATCTTCAAATTTCCGTAGAACAGTTTTCATTGGCTATTATTTTTTGGCCAATATTAATAAGCTTACTGTTTTCTCCACTAAATAATAAATGAGTATGCTGAGAGGTTCCCCCCAATTTGGAGTTGAATTGGCACTAGTTTAATACCAAGTAATATTCAAGTGAGTTAACTCCGATTAACATTTCGCATTGAGCGAATGCTGTCCCTTGATCTTACAAGATTGATCCTAAGAATTTGACCACAGATAGTTATTAGCAGTATGAAGCCTTGAATCCATGGCCTTTGACCCTCCCATCTTCCTTCGGTTCATTGTATCAGTGAGGTGCTCTGATGCAAAGAGAAGCCTTTGACTTCTCTAGTTCCATGAGGCAATGTCAGACATGCCTCCACCTCCCATCTCCCACCTCTCCTTACACTGCCTGCTATTCCTATGCTGGGTCATCCCTGAAGAATTCTGTGCTCGTATGCAATAATCCATTGCAGTAGCCACACACACAATACACAGGATTCTCAAAAAACTCACTGCCATCGAGCCAGTTCTGACTCGTGGTGACCCTTTAACACAGGAGAACTGGCCCTGCAATTTTCTGAGACTAACTCTTTAAGGGACTGAAAAAAAGCCTCCTTGTTTCAAACTGCTGACTTCATGGTTAGCAGTTCAATGTGCAACTCACTGCACCATAAGGACTCCATTACTCATAATTAATGGAGGTTTTGTTAGGGACGTTGACAGATTACCACAGGTCGGGATCAGAATGTGTGAAGAATATAATCTTTGGTCCACAGCAACACCTTTCTTAGCCATCTGTCAAGTCTTTGGTCCACAGCCAAGAAGCCAGTCCTACTTCTCTGCCTCTCAGTCTCAGCACTCCTTCTCTGTTGTATCTCATGGTTTCCTTGCCATAGCCTTTGTCTTAGCCTCTGCCATTTCAGACTAAAACTCAACCGTGTTCCACTGATGGCTTATCTTCTGATGGTCTTGACATTTTGCTCTGTTTCCAAGATGGCTGTTAGAGGAGTGGATTTGATGGAGGTGTGTTTTTTGTCTTTCAGCAGACCATATTCCTTAATAAATAGGGCTGTGACTTGGTCCACCCCCTCTAGTAAGGTGGAGAATCACTATATCCTACCCTAACTTTGTCCATCGGGGTAGTCGAGAACTCCCTCCAAAATGGGATTATAGACATAGGCATAGAAGCTAGAATTTATAATACATATGATTATGGTTAGTGGGAACATGTTGACTACATCTCGCTTATTTAAGAAGTTCAGATGTGAAGCAATTATTCTCTACATATCCTCCATCTAGGTCTGTACACTTCTGAATTAGATGTTTTATCTATCAGTCCCATCCCAGAAGAATTCTCTGATCTTTAATTTACATCCTATCAAAGCATCCTCAAGGGATACAGATCATACTCCTTTTTAGTGTTCTTCACGTTTTGGGAGCAGAAAGAAGCCCGAGGGATAAGATCAGGACTGTAGGGTGAATGGGGTGCGGTTTCCCAACAAACTGTTCATAGAACAGCCTTTACTAACTGCAAAAAATAAGCAGGTACATTCTCTGGTGGAAAAATACACAGCACAACTTTACTGTACGTTTTCTCACCTAATAAGTCCCTGTAGTCATCCTGTGTCCTCTGAGAAAATCTATCAGGATTACCACTTTAAAGTCTGAAAAATAATTGCCACTACCTTCTAAGCTAACCTCTTTGCCTTGGATTTCCTTGACCCAACAGATCCCCTCAGAAAATACTTGTCCTCAGCCGTCCACTGAACACAGAGATGTATTAAACATGTTATTCGGGACACGCTCACGCGTGTATAAATTGAAGTCCAGGAGCCGTCCTTTTTATTTCCCTGCTTACAGCCAGAGTGGAATGCAGTAGTGTTTATTGGTAGGAATTTTCCCTCCTATTTTTAAATATAATTCACTTACAATGTGAAATAGCTGGGTTCTGTATACCCTTGAGTTTCTACTAATTTTCTTTAATGATAAAACTTATCAAAACCAAGAAGTTAACCTAGTTAAAATACGCTTTCCTGATTTTGAACTGCCTGGTTTCCCTTTATTCAGTTCTTGGTCATGAGGTAACGTATGATCGAGAACCAAGGGAAGAAGTCCCCCTGGTTTGTTATCCACACAATTGAATTTCTTGGCATAGTCAATAAGACATAGATAAGCACTTTTCTGCTATTTTTTGTTTTAGCTAAGATCTATCTGGTATTGCAACCATATCTCTTGTTTCATGACCTCTTCTGAATTTGCCTTGAATTTTGGCAGTTCCCTCTGTACTGCTGCAGTTGTTTTTAATCGCCTTCTACAGAATTGTTCTTGTTTGTGATATTGATGATTTATTTATGCTGTTTGACAATTTCCTCATTATCCTGGAATGCCTTTGGCTGGAATGGGCATAAATATGAATACCATGTAGTCATTTGGTCTTCCAGGGTTCTGAGCGTAGGCACGTGATCACCTCCAGCACTGCACAGGCCAGGTGTGCTGAAACATTTCAGTAGGTAGTCAGTCTACTGGGAAAGGCCAGTTTTGTTTTCATCCATCCCTTCAGGGTAACTTAGATTTCTTCCTTCAGTACCACTGGTTCTTGGTTTCCTCCTGTAAGAGTTGACTGTCGGTCAACCAGTTCTTTTTGCTACAGTGACGCTTGCGTATTTCTTCCATCTTCTTTTGGTGCCTCCGGCGTGGGTCAATATTGTTAACTCCAGGCTTGAATTTTTCACTTTTAGCTTGAGAAAAGTGCCAAGCTATATTGGTTTTCTAACTACAGATCTTTGCACATTGAATTATAATACTGTGTCTTACGTTTTTCTGTAAGAATCCATTGGTTGATGTTGCCTGCAATAATAATTGCTGTATCTATTGCCTAATGGTAGTGTTCTATTTATTTAGCAGGAATATTTATTTTCTTTTTAATGCTATAAAGGATTCCCAAGATTTTAAGAGTTAGCTTATAGAATCGGGGGGAGAGGCAGGGAAGGGAGATGGTTTTTTAAAAAGGATTTCATTTTGAAAACACCAGTTTAGCGCTGTGTCTCCTTCTGATTAGGAAGTGAAGTAGATGAAATTATGAGGTTCCTTTTCTAATGTCCACATCTAAGAAATGCAGATCCTAAAGACACCTTCTAAGACTTTTATTTAAATTTTATTTTTAGAGCTAACACATGAGTTTCTGCAGATACTGGAGAAAACGCCTAGTAGGTTGAAGAAGATTCGATACTGGAGGGTAAGAGAATTGGCGGGGTTTAAGAGAGTATGATTTTTGTCGCTAATCTAACAAATTACTAATTAATTTGAAATTTTATAGCCAACTATTCCTCTCTCTCAGTATTCCTAAATAATTACACAAGAGGGCTTCCAATCGTTTGTAGTAAAGGTCTACCATCTCTATCGATTTCTCCACAAACTTAATGAAGCTCCCTTCCCTCATAGTGTGCCAAACATTTAATTTCTATTTAACTTATATTAAATGAAAATAAGTTTATTTAACTTAGTCTAACTCTTGTCAGGTTGGCTTGACTAAGAACAGAATACATTTTCTTTTATAATTCTCAGGCAATTATGGTGGAAGAATTATTTTTATTTTACAAATGGGAAGGTAAGGCATTCCAACGAAATCGCATTTGACCGGATCCTAAATCCCAAACCGGGACTTTGGACTTTTTATAGTCGTTCCTTCTGTGTCTAGTAAGACAGTTAACTTACATGCAGCCTTGACTCTCCTAGTCTTTGTTATTTCCATGTAGTTAAAGTAGAGGTTTTATAAGCCAAGCACTTTGTATTAAATTCCTTTGCTGTCCTTACTTCTTTGTGTCTTACCTGACTAGGCTGACCAAGCAGCGAGGAAGCCAAAAGCAGATGGGCAGATATCAGAGACGCCGCGGCTTGGCTCGACGTTGGTCCAGAATTCCATTTTAGTAGATGGTGTCACTGGCGTGCCTACAAACCCAAGCTTCCAGAAACCGTCTACATCGACATTCCCTGCACCAGGACCTATAAACCCCGGAAATAATTCTGCTCAAGACAGCAGCCATACATCAGATCATTTGTCATTGCTAGCAACAGGAATGCCAAGTACCTCATACGGCGTGTCATCGCACCCAGGATGGCCCCAAGATCAAGAGTCAGCACGGACGAATAAGATGTACTTGCAGAAGCAGGAAGCATCTTCATCAAGTGGCCAGTACAGCATCAGCTTCCAGCAGGGACCCTCCATCTCATTGCATTCAGGATTGCATCAGAGATCCGAAAAAATTTCTGATCATTCTTCAGTTAAACAAGACTATACTCATAAAGCAGGGAGCAGTAAATACCATGGGCCAATTTCATCTACTCCTGGAGTAATTCCTCAGAAAATGTCTTTAGATAAATATAGAGAAAAACGCAAACTAGAAACCCTTGACCTGGAGGTAAGGGACCACTGTGTAGCTGCCCAGGTAGAGCAGCAGCACAAACATGCGCAGCCGCAGGCCGCGAGCAGCAGCTCTGTGACTTCTCCCATCAGAATGAAAATCCCCATTGCAAATGCTGAAAAACACACAGCAGATAAAAAGGAAAAAAGCGCGTCACTGAAATTGCGGATCCCAATATCATCCACCGATAAAAACGCCAGTAAAGAAGAACTGAAAATGAAGATCAAAGTTGCATCTTCCGAGAGACACAGTTCTTCGGATGAAGGGAGTGGAAAGAGTAAGCATTCAAGTCCGCTGGTTGGCAGAGACCATAAGGACAAGCACAAGGAGCATCCTTCCAACCGCCACCATGCCAGTAGTCACAAGCACTCCCACGCCCATAGTGGCGGCGGCAGTGGGGTCAGTAAGCACAGTGCTGATGGAATCCCACCCACTGTTCTGAGGAGTCCTGTTGGCCTGAGCAGTGATGGCATTTCCTCTAGTTCCAGCTCTTCACGGAAGAGGCTGCATGTCAATGATGCTTCTCACAACCACCACTCCAAAATGAGCAAAAGTTCCAAAAGTTCAGGTAGTTCCTCTAGTTCTTCCTCCTCTGTTAAGCAGTATATGTCCTCTCACAACTCTGTTTTTAACCATCCCTTACCCCCTCCTCCCCCTGTCACATACCAGGTGGGCTACGGACATCTCAGCACCCTCGTGAAACTGGACAAGAAGCCAGTGGAGACCAACGGTCCTGATGCCCATCACGAGTACAGTGCAAACAGCCAGCATATGGACTACAAAGACACATTCGACATGCTGGACTCGCTGCTAAGTGCCCAAGGGATGAACATGTGATCGTTTGTTTAGGTCAATTTTTCTTTTACCTTTTGAATTTGAAGATGGTTAGAACGGAAACCTTCCTCCTGATCGAGCAGTGGTAACAGCTGCCGTTGCTGCCATTGCCTCAGAATTTGTAAGTGCTGCTTTATTCTTCATTCTGAACAGAAGAGATTGTAGTAAACACGTCTTTATCTCCACATGTGATAGTGTTATAATACTGTCAAAGCATGGAAGGCACAGAACTCAGTATTTCTACAATCGCAGCTAAGAACCTTAGGGTGAATGGATGGCTGCTTCTAGGAATATAAGAGGCCTCAAGCATTTGTTATTTATAATTTGAATACTGTAGCAATTTTTTTGTTGTTGTTGCTTGGCTTTTGAATGAGTGAAACTTGTTTTCTTTTGTGTATTTATACTTGTATGTATGATTTGCATGTTTCAATGATAAGGGATAAAACAGTATACTGACAACTGTTTACAAGAAAGTGGAGAAAAATGTACATACATTTTTGTATGTTTAGATATTACCATAAATACTCAGGATTGGAGCTGCTTGTAAGTATAACAATATACAGAATAATTTTATTTTATCTTGTGTTGGAGTCCATCACTAATCTAAAACAAAGGTGGCACTTTTTCATGTTAACCTTAAACTCTAGGCCTTACTGGAAGCCACGGAAGGGGGAGGGGCGCTTCATTCCGGGATGGAGGCGCAGTGCCGAGGATGGTCGCTGACGCTGTGAGGCGCTGGACTGTGCCTGCAGTCGGACCAGACTGGCTGCCGAAATAGCCCCTAGCTTTCAGAAGGCTTGAAGAGGAAAACAAACAAAGTTTACACTCTCTAGATGTGAAGTGCATTTAAACGTTTGTTGGCTCGTTGCAGTGCTAGGAACACAGCTGTTAATAATGGTTTTATAGATCACTGGGATTTGGAAACTAAATTCATGAAAACTCACACAGTGACGAATTAGTCCATTTTTCCTTAAACTGTAACACTACATGTTTTAATAGTAAACAGGGATTGCGTTTCCTTTCAAAGCATTCAGAATGGCACCATATTCTAAAACATCCTCCTGCCCATATTTCTGTTCAGGTGAATGCAGTCTTCCTTATAAAAACAAAATGAAACCTCTCGCTCTCTCAATTTATTTTATATTCTGACATTAAAGAAAGAAAAGCTCGCTGACTGTGCATTGTACCTGTATTTATAACTTTAGATTGTTAGAGAAACTCAGCCTCCAAGTGAACCACTAGTGGAGCTTTTATATTTGCTTGTACTTCTCAATAGAACCCTGTTGAGATGGATACTGTTTGCACGGTCGTCTGACTTCTGAACAAATGGCAGATTCTCATTTGTTTAGCGTTACTGTTGAATGCCAGTAATGTAGCTCTGGTTTATTGGTTAATCTTGAATTTATTCTATGGTAGATCCTTGCTTGAGCTGAGTTGAGTTCAAATTCTATTGAACTGAAATTCTTTTAATTTTCTTTTGGTATATATGAATTATTTTTGTTACAGAGTCACTGATACGTGTACAATTGTACTTTTACACAAGTGTGTTACAGTTGTAAATATTAGAGTTTAATCCCGTATTTTACTTTTATTTAGTAGTTATCTAATTTACTGGTAGCTTTGTGATTTTTTTAAGATTCTTGTTCATTCTTTCAGTAATGTTATTTCAACTTAGATGAATAGGAGCCCATTTCTAGGGACTTTGCCTAGCTAGCATGTCCTTGCATTTGTTCTTGTCTTGCATAATTTAGTAATCCTTGTCTTTACATGTAACTTTGTTGCTCGTTTGGCATAATATTGTATCCATGAAGATGGTCGTTTTGATACAGTCATACTTTTACAGTGGTGCATAATCCACAGACTAGTGTAGAATTAAACAGAGTTCAGGATGAGGGAGGGAAGGGTTTTATTCTTGGTAATTTAGATGTGAAACCTCTAAGGAGCTATCATGTGAAATGACAGTTGTTCTTGTACTGTATAATTGGGGATAATAATACCAGGAATTTTAATAAGATTTTGTAAAGTTATCCAGAAAAGTAGTGAACTTATTTTCAGTATGTCATAGAAAACAATGTGAATATTTAAGGTCTGTGACTATACTTAAACTTCACTAAGAATTTGCAGAATTGTTTCGAGATGTGAGAATAAAGGTAATTTTGTTGAATCTTTATTGGTGCTAATGATGGACAGTCTAAAAAGGTAGCTAGTGTATATTGTTATGGGTCAGTACTTATTAGTAGTACTTCCAAAATTTAATCTGAAATGCTATGTATTCACTTTTCACTCTGTAAATGTAATCTTTACAATGACTTTATTTATTAAAGGGCAGCCAGTTGTAATTTTTACAGGATTGTGTGAGCTATTCAAACTCATTATCCTCTAAACACAGGGTATAACACATCCAAAACTACCATGGGTAACAATCTGGGTATCCTTTTAGGGTTCCTTTGCATTACATGAACAGTGAACATATTGCCATGGACTTACTTTAACCATCTCATTTGCATAACATAATTCAGCAGCCTGGTCCCAATAGACGCAACCAAAGACAAGACTCTGGTGAATGGACATTATTTACTGAGTCTCTTGTAAGTAGCCATAAATAAACCAAAATAGTATCATCAAACTTAGGTGTGAAATTCCACATGTGCAAAGTACTGTTAAGGTGATACATTTTGATGAGATTTTCAACAAAAATATTTGCAATATTAAAAAGCATTATCTTTAAACATCCTATAAGCGAGTGATTCGTTTTTAAGCTGTGTGTTCCCGAGACTTATTAAGCTGTGTGTTCCCGAGACTTGTTACCGTTACACAGAAGCCCGTTACAAAGAGAGGCTTTTATTTACTTTTTACCTCTATCACCGTATTCTCCAACGTTGAGCTGTACAGTGGGATATTTGCCTCACCTACTTTAAAATGCAAAGTCCTCTAAAACCAGATCAAAGGGTGTTTGTTCTCAGAGACATTCCCAGGAGCCTGTTTGTATAAAACGAGATGGTTTACTTCTGAGCTAATATCCGACAAGCTTGTCTAGTTTCTGGTTTGATCCGAGATCTGTTTCTTGCTGCAAGTGTTTAAGTCCTGAAAAGCCACCTGACTGCCTAGGTGATGCTGTGAAAGCAGCTCCATACTCATCTTGGTTCTCCTCTGTACGTGCAGGTGCATCCTGGTTGCATTTCTGATTTCTCCCATGGTGTATGGTTTCGTGGCCAATGGCCCGAAGGACTGCTCACATTACCGTCTCCCAGGAGACTGTCATTAAGTAGCAGACCAGCTTACTTTTTACCTTTCTATGTCCTCTTTGAACAAAGAAATGACCAGTTTTAAATGTTTTTCATAGTCACCAGATGCCTTGCTTTAAAAGCATTATAAGTGTGTCTCGTAATATTTGAGAATTTAAATGTCCGATTATTGTTTCGTAACTTTTGAAACAGACTGCAGTTTTTATACACGTGGACATTATCTACTCCAAGCACCCTGGGTGGTCAGCCATTTTAGTGTTTTAATATGGAAAGAGGCAAGATGTGTAACCGAAGGCAGTGAGTTCTCAAGGTATGCCACCTTTGGGAATTTTTATGTGAGCAGGGCAGCTTTTTGTCTTAGAGCCTACTGTGCTTAAGATCAGTGGAGGAAATTTGGAGCGCTCTGGTTACGAAGAATCCTTGAAGTAGGGGAAGCTGGCAGCCTCTACCCTCCACAGACTTCCCTGGGAGGGAGAGCAGGGTTCACTCTTTGCAGTTACCCTGCTGGAAGGCTCACCAACCCCCCCCCTCGGGAGAAACCAGTGTTAACTGAACTCACAGGAGGAAATGTCTACTCATGTGCCTCCTTAAGCAGGAATTTCTGCATTGGAAAAATACATTTTGTCTTCCTCCTGGGATGCCAGATTATACGAATACGTTAAAGAATTCAGAGGTACTCTAATAACGGAAATCCCTATGATTTCAAATGATCGGAAGTTTGCTTGTCTTGTGAAGAGGCCTGAGCCGTCCATCAGTAAGGAGGATCTTGATGGTGAGTGCTCAGTGTTGTGGCTCTCATTCTGTGCACCCGCCCTTTCTAGCGTTAGCCTCCAGACACCAGTCCCCGCTTCCCCCCCCCCCCAGCTCCTCCCCTCTTAACAATATCTGTTTTGCCTGCTAGGTTCTTTAGGTAAACTGGTAGGATAAATTAAAGGTTCGTGGGACTAGAGGTAATTCTGAGAAAGGCAAGAACCTGTTTGCTGGGAGTCAACATCGAAAGTAAATTATGAAACATAAGGTGTAGTAGGATTCCTCAGTTAAAACCTCCTAAATAATGACACTGGTTGATAAATTTTGCTTGTTTTCTTTTTGAAATGAGCATATTTTTTGTGGCACATCTGTTTATGCAGCTTCATTTGGTACATTTACTCATTTGTTGTCACCAGTTAGAGCAGCAGTTCTCAACCTGTGGGTCGCAAACCCTTTGGGGGTCGAACAACCCTTTCACAGGGGTCGCCCAGTTCATAACAGCAAAATGACAGTTATGAAGTAGCAACGAAAAAAATTTTTTATGGGGGGGGGGGTCACCACCACATGAGGAACTGTATTAAAGGGTTGCGGCATGAGGAAGGTTGAGAACCACTGGGTTACAGGGAATTCCTTTTCTGAGTACTCAAAACCCCCATAGGATATGGATTGGAAACTTAAAATGGCAATCTGTGTACATGCGTCAGCTGCTCAGGATCCATAGAAAGGATTATTAATGACCTTTGCTTAGTCACAGTACAGATCTACGGCTCTGTCAAGGCTGTGAATCGGGAATAAGTCCATGGAGAGGGGCCGCATTAAAGAGAATCTTCAAGGGTAGCATGTTTCAAAAACTTGAATATTAAACATTTGTGCCTGCAGTGTCCAGAATTAGCCTTAATTCATGGGCATTTTATGTTAATACCAGCAAGGGTCTATTTTACTTTTAATAAGGCAGGTGGCTCTTAGTTCAGGACTTTGTTACAAAATAATTCCACTTAACCAAGTTCATCCAGGGCCATTGCTGCTTCCACCCATCCCCTTTTCCCTCCCAGTTTTCTCAGTAGTGAAAAGTGGGTTATTTTTGTTTTAGCTTTAATATTACATGCGCATCCTTCTCCCTCTTCTCAATACTCAGAGGAGAGTAGGGCCTTGCTTGTGAACTTGGATCATTACCATAGAATTGTAGACGAAGCTGATTAAGACTACAAAATGTCCAGGTATCCACTCGACCTCAGTTTTCCTCTGTTTGAAGTCAATCCATAGAAGCAACCATTTTAGGGATGCAGTCAGCCATGGGTTTTCACATGTCTGAGGAAGCATGACAATGCGCTATGGCAGCATTGCCCTGGGACGAGTTTGCTTTGTGGGGACTCACAAGCCATGCTCCTCTTTTAAGTCGGAATCCACTCGATGGGCCTGGATTTTTGTTCAGATGGCTACGTGAGCTGCGCCTAGCGTAAGGAAGGAAGAGGTACTGATTAGCTACTCAACACATTAACTGGACTGTTCGCTTGGACCGGCTCAGTTCACTCCAGAAGGCCCAGTACTGCAGTAATCCCATGCAGTAGAAAGGTTAAGGCAGGCAGGCACAGAGCTTCCTAAACTCAGACTCAGCTATGCAACACACAAGTCAAGCATGGGAGATGCTATAGAGTTAAGGAGGTGTAGTATTAAGTTACATTTGGGGGGGAGGGGGGCCAGCCCCCACCGCTACTACCACCCACAGGTTCAGTAAGCACAATTGTATGGTTGAGATACATAAGTATTATGTTAAAGTCATCGAGAGCATGAGAGAGATTACAATAATGCAGTTAGACACATTACATGGTAGCATTGCTCACCTCAGCCCAGCTTGGTGGTCCACGTGGAGAGGGGGGGAAGGGAAGGAGGGCAAGGGAACAAGGGAGCCAGAGAGAGAGATCAGAGAGCTCTATATTGCTGACTCAAGCCTATATACCTTTTGGGGGCATGCCAGCCCACTAATTACAGGCAGAGACATACGTCACAGGGAGGGGTTGCACTATAGGTTACACCGTAATGAGAGGGGGTGGTCTAGGGACATACACACAATAGGAAGAGGAGGGACTTGGGGTACACACGTGACAAGATGGGTGGATCCTAGATTTAGGATGGCAGCTTAACTTTGACCTGTTCCCTGGGTCTCCATAGTAACCATTATCAGTAGGATGTAAACTACAGGAGCCTGTCCATTGTCCCCAGGGGCAGGGAACAGGGCCCACTGCAGTTTGGCAACTGGTCGCCCTCAGGGGCGATGTCTGCTAGCATCTACCTCCCCCCACAAAGAGGTAGCACAGTGGAGGAGGGGCAGGCAAAACCGGTGAGTGAATGTGAAGAGCATGTCACAAGACTGGAAGCATTGATGAATAATAAATGTGCCTGCTTCACAGTGGAGTTTTGCTTGAATTATAGTGGGATTGGTGGTTTAGTTTCATAAGACGCAACAGAGAAATGGTCTTTTAAAAGTCAGGCATTCGGTGCCACCCTAACTCCTGCCTACCAGAAAGTAAGTTACTGCTCAGCTTTCCTATCAGCTCTGGCCCCTCACTCACCCTCTTAAAGGAAGGTGGAAGGGGAGAACTCATCTGGGCAATAAAACTGGAGAGCCTAATTCCAGAAAGCCAGGATCTAACAATGACCCAAGCAACCAACAGGCCTTAGGGTCAAGGTTTGCCTATGGAAAATGACATTTTGTAGATTCTGCGTAGTACTTCAAATTTGTATTGAGTTTATCTCAATAGCTAAAATAGATCTGTTAACCCCAATGGCAACTAAACCTACATTTACAAGACATGTTTAAGTCATTAATAAGTGAAAGATGGGCTTCTTCCTTCCTGTGCGCATTATTCTCAAATAGGAGAAAAGAACTGTAACTGAGAGAACGAAAAATATACCCACACCAGACTACCATCGTAGCTAGTGGGTTGCTTTTCCTACTTCTTCCTCGAAAATGTCCGAAGTAGATGCTTTTGGCAAGTCCTCACACTGCTGTTAGAGAACACCTCAGTTCATTTGTTGTGTCCTTGAGATGTAGCTTAAGATCCTGGAGATCAATGAAATGCATTAGGTGGTGGGGACTTACGCAGCCGACGCCTTGGAGCTGCCTAGTCTGACTCAGAGCAGCTCGTGCGAATTCTGATGAGCCCTTGTGGTTACGTGTTTGGCTGCGCTCCACAAGGTCCACAGTTAGAAACGATTCCCATAAACAGTTGGTATCTCAGAAACTCGGGGCAGTTCTGCTCTCCTATGGGGTCTCTCTGAGTCAGTACTGACTGCATGGCAGTGAGTTTGGTTTGGTTTGGTACAGTATGGTACAATTCTAACCATGTTCACTCGTATGGTGTTCTGGAGATTAACTGAAAGCGACTTCAGCTCGGGTGCCCATTCAGATGAAGTGAGCAAAGTTCCCTGGAAAAAAATTGACATCCTTCCAGTTCCCCATTTGCTCCTTCAGCTGGTTCTGTTTGGTTAGCCGGACTCACGGCAGCGGGACAGCGGCACAGACAGATGGCCCAATAAGCCAGGTAAACACGAGTTTATGTTTGCTTAGTAATAGTAGTGAATGGTTCATTACAGATCAGTGAGTAAGCAGGAATAAACAAATGCTTACCTTGGTGGTGGTGTCCTTTTGCATTGGACTACAATCTGCATGGTCAGCAGTGTGAAACCACTATTTGCTCCTCCAGAGAAAGACTGGGCTTTATCCTCCCACAAACAGTTACAGTCTCTCAGAGACTCGGCTTGCTTGGTGTACCTTGCTTACGGTGTATACTGCCTCTTCAGGATTCCCATTTTAGGAGCTTTGCTTCTGTAGGAAGGTGCTGCGGGGTTTTAGAGAATGATGCTAGCTGTATCTCACAGCAGACTCTTTGGCATGAAAAAATGTGAAATTATTCACTTCAGATTAGTAAGTAAACCCATGCTCACCGTGCATTTTAGGTAATCCTACACTGCACACAGAACAAAACATTGACTGTTCTAAGCCATCCCCAGGCATCCAATTCCACACTCCCAAATAACTTAGTTAATTCTGACTGGTGATGACCTCACTCAGCTCCAAAGATCTGAAGACACGGAAAATCACTGCAAGTGCGTTCGAGCAGCCTGAGGTTTGTGGGGCCACCTTGAGTCCAGCTCAAAAGCGCAGGCATTTCAGGCAGTCAGGGATCTTAGGGTTATAAAATGCCATGGCCCTTAGCTGCTCGGTTAGACCTTGAGGCTCCCAGAATCTGCAAAGCGAAGATGGCTACCAAAGCTCACCTCAAAACCAGAACAGTTGTGAGGATGGCCCAGGACCGGGCGGTGTTTCGTTGTGTTGTGCATAGGGTGGCTACGTGTTGGGCCAGATGCGACAGCGCCTAACAACCACCCAAGCAAATGGTTTCCTCGCTTCCCAGGTAACGCCCTCCCTTTCTCTAGTCTCCTTTGCCAGGATTACATCTTTTCTGACAGAGCAAGAAAGCACAAGTTGTTTTGACATTTTATTTTAAACTAATGACATTAAAATTGACAGGCCGAAAATAAAAGGAAGTTATAAAGCCATAGAGAATTGTGTTTTGGAAAGTTAAAATTGTAAACACTGGAATAGGTTTTTTATTGGTCAATTAAAATTTTCTCATATACATGGGAGGCTTGAGGAGAAGTAGTGCTTAAAGCTGTACATTAGTGACGCTTTAGAGGATCTGGTGGAAGTAGGATCAGAGTTTCCAGTCGGAAAACAAAGACTCCTGAACCGTCATTTCCCGGAGGTGAATAGCGGAGTGGACCTGGGAAGAAAGTCCTGATGTTCCATTCAGTGACTTCTCTTCAGGAAGGTGTGCCGCAGGAGCTGCAGTGCGGAAGGTCTCTCGTGCTGGTCCCTAAGAAGGAGAAACAAACACATCAGCAGCAGCACCCAACTTCGATCTTGACTCAAAATGCAGGTTTCAGAGTTGGAAGTACAGCCCCTGACAGTCAGGCGGACTTGATTAGAGTCTGGACTCCCAATTTTCAGCTGTGTGATCTTGGGCAATTGACCCGAATTTTGACCTCATCAGTAAAATGAGAATAACTTGTTGGGAGAATCAAGTGCAATAATGATTACAAACTTTTAAACATTGTGTGACATGTAATATTTAAGTGTGTTCAAATATGGTAGTTATAAACAGTTGGCCCTACCATTGTACGTTTGATCAAATTAAGGTGCAAGCTACATACAGTAAAATTCACAATTTTAGATGTGTAGTTTATTGTACTTTTAATTAGCATTAAATCTACTTTTAAAATTTAGAGGCAATAGAGACCAGAATTGAAAAGACTTTAAGGTAGACCGCGAAATAGGCTTTAGTGATTAATTGGAATACCCCTACTTGCGGACTCAGGGAAGCATAAAGTCAAAGTTAATACCGTTACCAATTCATTCTCTTCAAGGAACAAAAGAGCTTTGGCAGCTCGATCCCTTGGGGGACTAAGGGCGCAGGTGGTGGTTGGCTGCAGCGTACTGTTGCGCAGCATCCTTGTAATCAGAGTGGCCTCCTGGAGGTAACGAGGGCAAGAGGACGCCCCTGACTGGCCAGGTTGAAGATGGGAATAAATGTAAAACGTTTCTTGAAGAAAGTGGCAGTACATCCTTTCCAAATAAAAACCTTTCTCCTGGAGTCTCGCCTGCCACTCTGTTCTCCAGTAAGGCTTCCTTTGACATGACTGCTTCCCAACGCCATCCTGTTTCTGTCCTTGCCAACCGTCTCAATTGCCTGGGACTTCTACCTCGGTAGGCAATGGCTTCTGAGACCCTAATCACTTCGCTCGCTTCTTTATAAAACTGCCCTGTTTAACGAGATCGTCCTCCTTGTCTCTTCAGCATCTGAAATACGGCCCGCTCCTTTTTCAAAATGTTTCTGCGTGAGTGTATGGGCAACGGTTCCCTGCGTTCTTCCCTTCCTTTCCCACACTGCCTTCCTTTCGCTTGGGTGCTACACTGGCTAGTACCCATATGGTGTCATTCCTCCACCACACCCCCCACCCCCGACCCCACCCCCGCCTCCCAACATTTACTTCTTTTCTCATGACTGTAACTATCAACCTTGTAATGGTCTCCAAATATGGGCCTCCTACCTTAATCACTTCCCTCAGTCCCAGGCCCATACTTGCAAATGGCTCCTTAGAAGACAGGTTTGTGTTATCAAATTTCAGAAGATAATTATATGCTACTTCATATGACACTAATTGGGTAAGGTTAGTATTCTCCCTAATGGTTATTAACGGTGGAGACCTAATTAATGTGTTCTGCTAAACAATTTGCACGCACTATTTCACTTTGCCTCCACCACAAACATTAATTCATTATTAAGGGTGTGAATTGTAGTGTTAAGAAGAAATGGTTCAAAAGTAGTCCCACTGGCCCTCCAAAGACAAAAGTTTACAGTGGGTTGACCTTTGAAAAGCTGCATGACCCGTAGTTTTTAGTTTTTGTTACTGTCTCAAGGTTTTGACAGGATGCCTGTCAATAAGGAGTATATGTATGTACTGAATTTATTCATTCCACTTTGTATCTCTTCTGTTGAGACCCCTGGTGTTCATTTATTAATGTATTCAGTAAGTATTCGTGTGTTTAGAGACTTCTCTTCAAGGTGGTTCAACAGTAACCAAAACATGCAAAGGACCTGCTCTCATGGTGGGAAACGACACAACAAAGACATCACAAGTCATGTGATCAGTGCAGTGAAAGTGGAGCAGGGTACGGGTTGACTGAGGAGACTTTCCAAGGCCTGACTGGAAGAAGAGCGTCAGCCATGAAGTGGTTGTCTGAGGGGGAGAGTGTTCTGTCTAGGCGGTGAGGACAGCTAAGACAACCCCCGGAGCAAGAGTCAACGTGGTCTGTGTGAGGCCAAGGCAGCAGAACAATCCAGGGAAAGCCTGACCATAAACAAGCGTGGAGAGTGCAGGACTGCTCAGGAAGAGCCTACAAGGGGAGGAATTTGAGATTTTATTCCGAAGAAGGCGTAATTAGTTCCAGCAGACATTGGACTTGATTTGACTTATCGATGTATGTTTTCAAAATCCCATTCATGGTTAGCAGGATCACTTGATAAATTTTTCCCAAGAAACTACACACATAGCAATGTGAATTAATGGGGGAGTGCAGAGTGGAGATTCAAAGTCCATCTGTAGACAATTGGACATCCCCTTATGGAAGGGTCACAAGGAAGAGATGAGCCAGTCGGTGAAATATAGCACCAATGAAACATACAACTTTCCTCTAGTTAATGCTTCCTCCCCCTAACCCCCACTATCATGTGCCCAATTCTACTAACATCCAGATCAGAACATGTACACTGGTACAGATAAGATCTCGCAACACACAGAATCCAGGACATAAACCCCTCAGGACCAATGATGAGAGCAGCAATACCAGGAGGGTAAGGAAAAGGTGGGGGAGAAAAGGGGAACTGATCACAAGGATCAGAATAGAAAAGTGGATGAAGGGAGACATCGGTCAGTGTAAGACAAGGAGAAACAACAATAGTAATTTATAAATTATTATGACAATAATTTGTAAATTATCAAGGGTTCATGGGGAGGGGTGTGAATTGATACCAAGGGCTCA